TTCAGCAGGATGTTGTATTCAGCGAGTGCACATAACCCACCCCCCTCTCCCTTTCTCTCTCTCTCTCTCTCTCTCACTCACACACAGTGAGGAGAACGACCCGGACATTCAGGCGGCTATAGCACTCAGTAAAGTGGATGCCATTGCGTCGAATGATCCCTTCGGCCAGTCCAACAGCAGCAACTACAATACACCACAACCACAGAACAACGACCCCTTCGGCCTGGGAGGCGACCCCTTCGGGAGTGTACAGGCACAGCAACCGCAGCAACAACAACAGTCGTTTGACCCCTTTGGAGACCCCTTTGGCAGTGCGCAAACACCCCAGCAATCGCAACAGAATCAGTACCAACCACAGCAGGTGTGTTGCCTGTGGTGGGTTGGTAATGTGTGTGTGAGCGCGTAATGAGGTTTTTTCTATGTTTGTATGCGCCGATAGATCGTACTCCTGATTTGTGTCGATGTGTATTATTCACTGTGTGTCTAGTCATAGGTATCACACCATACATGTACGCCTGTCATGTCTCCCGCGTGTGTAGATATAACATATACATAGTGGTCACGAGATGCGTTTGGACTATATGTGTGCGTATCACTTCCCCTTGGCAACAGCCTTGTACCGCATCGCCTACCGATATCCCGTTGGCGGGTGTGTTCAGAGCCAAACACAGCAGTTGTTGTCATCCGAACCACAGAGAGCTGACTCGGAAGCTAAGTGTGTGGTGTGTGTGTGTGGGGAGTGCGTTAAGAGTGTGTGCGTTCACATGGCACACCCGTGCATACGGAACCAGTACACACACCGCAGATCACAAGCAACACAACTCACCTCACACTCAATAGCTTGTGAATAACGATACCTCACCAACCACCTAAGACACACAACAAACATACACAAGCACTATGAAAGTCCTTCGAAGGCAAACTCATTCGACAACACAAATATTGCCATAGCAACAACAACAGAATGATCCGTTTGGCGATCCCTTCGGCGGGTCCGATCCGTTTGGCGCTGGGCCGCCGCAGCAGAACTATGGGCAACAACAACAACAGCCCATGCAAAACCAATACCAGCAACAACCGCAACAGCCATTTGGTGCACCACAGGTGAGTGTGAGTGTGGTGAGTGTTCGGATTGAGCTCGAGTGTGGTGATTGTGTTCGCTTATTATATATATATATATATATATATATTCATTGTAGGGTTGCATTGCAGGAGGAAAAGAGTGCGATGTGTGTGCGTATGTGGTGGTACACAACGGGCATCAGCAACAGCAACAGTAGGCCCCATTATACGCCACAGTGAGTTTGTTGACTAGGGCAACAGAGGCAAACCTTTTATGGCAGTAGGGTTTTATGGGTTAAGGGTGGCGACAGGCATTTCATACAGGTAGTGGGGTAGTTGAAGGCGGGTACAGAGGGTGCATGTATGTGATAAAGCACATATCCGATACTGGCAGCTACAAACCATAGCAGCTGCAACACTGGTAAGCTGGGAAGATGCCTACTTTATGTTCAAGAGGAGGGGCGTACAACGAGTGTAAGTATGTGTTCTATTACAGAACTAGTACAAACAACAGCCGCCGCAGCAACAGCAGCCGTTTGGCGCCCTGTCAGTAGGCTGGTTGGGATGTGTGCCCCCGCATATACGATACGTGGTGGCTGCTATAAGAGTGTTGGGGTGCAGCTACACGACCATGTCTTCTTGGGCTGCGGTGGCTTTACCTTACCTTTACGCACCACTTGCGTTAGAACTGTATCCAGTAGTATGTCGATCATTGGCGCAACAACCACTGCATAAGCGGCACTCGATCTTGCGTTGGAGGACGGAACCATATACCACCCGTCGTCTGCATGTACTTCACGTCCAGTTGTGTGGTCTGTTAAAGCGCATATACATATACAACAACAACTCATCTATCGCAACAACTCCTACTATACTACAACCGCAGCAGCAGCAACCCATGCAGCCCCCAGGAGGTGCGTGGGGTCAGCCTAGCAACCAGCAACAGCCTAGCAACCCCAACCAGCAACAGGGGACCGTTGCACGCAACTCCCCACAAATCGACGAGTTTGCCGGGCTCCGATCTGGCCCAAATTCCACGCGATCAAGGTATTTAGTTGGGTATTAGTTTATTGGCAGGTGGTATTAATTTGTGGGTAGTTGGGTATTTGTTTATGGGCAGGTGGTATATATTTATGTGCAATTGGCGTTGGTTTATGAGGCATTCGTTGTTGTTAATTATGATAAGTTGGTATTATAATTGTCGGGCAGTTGGTATTTATTTGTGGATAGTTGGCATTGGTTTGTGAGCAGTTGATATTAGTTTTTGGATAGTTTGTGTTAATCGATATTGATTTGTGGTTAGTTTGTATTAGTTTATTGCTACTTAATTATCATTCAATATACTTCTATTTGTATGTATGTATACATACTTTTATTAATATATATATTTATATATATATATATTATATTCAACCACCCTCATCAGTGCAGCCTGTAACACGGCTATATACGCACACCTGTCCCGCGATACAGGTCCAATAATAGCCAATCATATCTGCACAGTTTAATAAAGCGTGTGAGTGCCGTGTCAGGCACCGCTGGATACACACTCACTTCACGCACGTACGCGCCACTACAGTATAGTGATGTGAATACTCAACTCTTATCTAGACGGACTCGCCCATAAAGGAATCTGACCGTCGCAGTACGAGGCGTAGCTAGAACAAATCGCACTCCCCGCGTACACCCTCTGCACTGAGTGGGCGGGTGCAATACACCCTCCCCTCAAAGGGGGTGGTTGCATTCACTGTAGTAGGCAGTGATACTATACGTGTGGCCTGCACCACAGTGATATCTCTACTCACTCCACACACACATCCAATCCGTTCATGCAGTATGGCGAGCTCGGCTCAGGCGCCCCCCACAGCCTCACCGGCCTCGGACAATCCGTGGGATATGAAACCGCTGGAAACATCCCTGCCCACGCCTTCGAGTGGAGGGGGGCAAGCACTCATACCTACCACAGACGATTCAGCCAACAGTAGTGCACTGGTGCCTGCGCCCAAGAAGAACAACTCGCTGGATATCTATAAGGATCTGGTCAATTTGGATGCCCTGGCTCCGGTGTGTGGCTGGTATTTTGATGATTTGGTATACACACACACACACAAATATATATATATGTGAATATGTGAATAATTATCTATATATATATATCTATATTCATAATTATATTTAGATTTATATCTATATATTTAGATTATATCTATATATATATATATATATATATCTACATGGGCATCGTATACTTCTCTATATGCAGGCAAGTTATATCAAGTACAGCATACTAGCCAACCTTCCCCATCGTTCTATACTTTAACATTTACACCAGACAAGTTACAACAAAGATACCACTCACCAACCTATCCCATTCTTTTGTACATACACCTTCATATACACCGACAAGTGACAATTAGGGTCACAACGACAATGGCCACACACACTCACAATCTAACCCACCATCCTACACCTTCCATCTTGCACACCCAGGCCAGTGTTCTAATCCCTCCCTTTGTACATACTTTCTCCTCCACATGCACAGGCAAGTGACAACAGGGGTTACAACGCCAACGGCCCGTCACCCACCAATCCCTTTGGCCTCAGCGGGGGCGGCGCGAATGTGCAGACATCTACCCGTGGACCTCAGGCATCACTTAACCAAATGGCTGGAGGCGGTGGCTATGGTAACATGGGGGGTGTGAGTCAGATGCCCATGGGCGGGCAGCAGATGGGCTATGGCGCACCCTCTGGACAAGGTTGGTGGGGTTCTGTTCTTTCTGGGTTTTAGGGGGGTTTTGGTTAGAATTCTGATATGTATGGGGTGTGGTAGAGTGGGGAGTAGGGGCAATGATGGTGAGTGGTGTTGTGTGTGCGGTGGGAAGAATTGGGTTCGGAACTTTTTGTGATGTACTATGGCTAGTGTGAATGTGTGGCTATTGGAAGTGTATGTATAATTGAGGGATAAATTTGCGGTTGTGTTTGGAATCCACGTATATATGCGTGTATGTACAGGACAGCTTATAAGAATAACTAAATTCAGCACACACCAAGATACGATAAAGTGCCATCCTCTTGCTCACACCCCTTTCCACGCGGCGACCACATATATTTCTCCTCAACACTTCTTATATTGTCTTTATACACTGCTCTATATCCCACTCTTTCTATAGTGCTGATATATCCCTTGTGTACGTCTTATATACTCAGGTGGCGGCTACGGTCAACAAATGGGTGGGCAACAAGGACAAGGCATGTACAACCAGCAGCAACCGTACGGACAACCGCAGCAACAGTACGGGCAACCACAGCAGCAGTATGGGCAACCTCAGCAGCAGTATGGGCAACCACAGCAGCAGTATGGACAACCACAGCAGCAATACGGCCAACAACAGCAGCAGTATGGGCAACAGCCTGGCAACCCCTTTGGCTAGAGTGTAGTAGGAGCGACCGTGCGGGTGTGCTCGGCTTGTAAGTAGGATGGGAGAATATACCCGTTGGGCGGTAGAGCAGTGCGAGGACTAATAAACTTCCTGTATGTATGGTTGATATACGAGATGGTTGGGTAGGGGCAATTGTTCTGGCGGTACTCCAGTTCCGTATATGGGGCACATTCTATGTTTAGATTTCTATTTTTAGAGCACAGTTTATTCCTACGTGAAGATGCGTCATACTTTGTTTGTCTTCACATTATTAACTTGTTTTAAGTCGTCGTCGAGTCTACTGGAGATTAGCACGTGTATATTCTTCCCAGGAAGACATCATATTTTCCTGTATGTTGGGTTTTGCGAGCATTCGGTGCACGTACAAGCAATACAGAAAATCGATAGAGTGACCGTGGATTTGAACTCAAAATCTTGTTTTCAAAATGGGACTATTTAAATGCAAGCTATCGGCTGCACGAATAATTCCTAGCCGGGTGTTTATTTACAATTCTTCACATACTATTTGACTACTTTTGCCGTAGATTATGTTTCAATGTCCACTACTGGAATAGCTAGGCGGCTGCTGAAAAAGCGTTCTAGTATGAGTGAATTCCTGTACTTCAACCTGATGGAATGAGATTGCACGTACGCTTCTGAGGCTTTGTACCTGCATCTTCTCAATAGCAGCGTGGACTCAAGCTTACAGGCGCATCCATTGCCGGCTGGACTCTACAACTTTCTGTCTGGAAAGTATTATGGGGTTGTACTGCTCAGCATCTCGAGCGTACCATATAATCGGTGTATATGCGCTCCAACCCTATACGAAACTGGCGTCTGCATTAAAAGGCAATTGATCCGATATTACATTGAAACCTTTGTCTCTCAATTCATCGACCCTCTGAATGTCGTTGACTGTGAACAGGAATGTTCTGCTCGCATTCCTGAGCAAAAGCTCCCGCACCTGTTCCAAATGCCACGGTACGAACTCGTCCTTCAGCACAATGTAATCGTTGTGGACTATCAATTGCTCGATTACACACACAGGGAAGCATTCCATAATCCACCCACAGGCATGTCCAGTGCTGTCCGTTTGTATTATCTCAGCATGTAAGAAGCTTGTTATAAGCAGTTGCGATGGGACTAACCCCCACTCTATGTATCTATGTCTCAAGATCTCAGTTGTCCTGTCGTACAGGTTGTATTCTTTGAGTTCGAGATTCAGCATCCCGCGGTATCCCATACTAGTGCACAGGTCCAGCACTTGCGCCAAAGTAGGTATATACGCTGGTAGTTCTTTATAAGTTGTCTTGTCTATGCACCGCCCGTCTTTCAAACGTCGATCGTGATGTATAACTATCTCGTCGTCACTCGTCAAACGTAGATCGAACTCGATGCCATCACACTTTGCATTGCGCATGGCCCTTGCGAAGGCCTCCAATGTGTTCTCTCTGAGACCACTGTTTGCTACAGCACCACGATGCGCAATAAGCATACCTCGCTTGCCTATCACACAATCTATCAGCATTGTCAAAGTCTATGAGTGTATCGTTAATACACTGTCA